CTTGTTGAAAATCTAGTATTACGCCGACATCCAAAAGTATTTAAACATCGGTGAGATAATGAAAATTTGGTTTAAAATTAAGTCCTACATAGGTACATTTCCTTTTACAGCCCCAATTATTTTGAAGAATATGATGAGCTAGAGTTTTTCAAACGGTTTCGGCTGAAGAAACAAACTTGTTTGATGTTATTAAATACAAATGAGGATCAAATTAAATGTACAACAGACCGAAATAATGCAATATCGCCAGCATCAAAATTATTTTTGACTTTACGATTCTATGCTACAGGAAGTTTGTTAATTGCAGCAGGTGATTTTGCAGGAGTAAGCAAAACATCTGCATGCTATATTGTGACTCGTGTAACCCAAGCAATAACTTCTTTACGTGACAGATATATAAAGTATAAAGTTAATCGTTCACGTTCAATTTTACACTTTCGATACAGCGCCATCTTGTTTTCAATAGTTAAATGATCCATTACACAGATATTTGGAAATACAGTTGGCTTGGGATATGTATATAAAGCTACTGTATTTGGAAATGATTACAAATGATAGGGTAGATAGAATAAATTGAAAAAATTCATATCATGTGACATGAAAATTAGTAAAGGTACGACAAAAAAGCTTCAGTTAATGCGGTTTGAATTTTTATCTAGGGTTTGAGAAATTATTTAAATAAGATAAAATTAGTTAAATCAATATGTATGTAATTTAAGCAAGATATTTATTTTAAATTCATTGATTTGGAATATAGAGGTTTCCTATACTTATCTTCAACGGTTTTGGAGATAATCACGATTATTTATAAAGGACGAACTTTAACGTGCGTTAATTTACTACTATAATTTTTAAGAAGGGTGTGCCACCAAAAGATAGTTTCATTTGATATGCACGTCCCAAAAAACTGTTCGATGAACTTTATTTTGATGGGATTTTGATTTTTGTAGCATTGTATGGATCGATTAAAGTAAATTGAAACAGACCTAAATGGCAAACTAAAAATTAAAATAGAAAAGAAATTACGTCTCAAATATCACTTATCATTAGATTCAGAAAATTATGAAGAATTTTGTAAGTTACTGTCATTTCCGCCGAAACCGGAAGTGACTGAAAAATCAGTAAAATGTCAAAAAGTGAAGTTTAATACGATGTCCCAAATTGCAATAATTTATTTTCAAAACTAAAAAGAAAAAGGGGGGTATACCATCGTTGTATTAGTTTAAATTATAGATAACACTTGATATTATTAGATTTATTTTTAATTTTTTTATCTAGTTTAATTTTAATTATTCGTGTTTTATATCCGGTATATTGCTGTAATCAGAAAAAGTAGAGGAATTTAAAAAACGATAAATATACAGGGTGTTCCATTAAAANATTGAAACAGACCTAAATGGCAAACTAAAAATTAAAATAGAAAAGAAATTACGTCTCAAATATCACTTATCATTAGATTCAGAAAATTATGAAGAATTTTGTAAGTTACTGTCATTTCCGCCGAAACCGGAAGTGACTGAAAAATCAGTAAAATGTCAAAAAGTGAAGTTTAATACGATGTCCCAAATTGCAATAATTTATTTTCAAAACTAAAAAGAAAAAGGGGGGTATACCATCGTTGTATTAGTTTAAATTATAGATAACACTTGATATTATTAGATTTATTTTTAATTTTTTTATCTAGTTTAATTTTAATTATTCGTGTTTTATATCCGGTATATTGCTGTAATCAGAAAAAGTAGAGGAATTTAAAAAACGATAAATATACAGGGTGTTTCATTAAAAAAAACAAGCATTTTGTTTTATATCTCTCGGAAACGCAATATCCAATTGTTTTTCTATGTAGTTCCTTGATATCACAAGAATATTTACTAAAACTTTGTTTTTTACCATTTTGTCCTCGCCACAAAACATTTTTAGTCCTTTCTAAAATTATGGTCTCTCTCGCTGTGACGTCAATTCCCAGTCTTCGAGGCTTTCGAGGCCTGCGAGACCTCGATGCGTAGCTTTTGACGTCACTACGCCTTTATAGAAAAGGACGAAAAATGTTCATATTTTAGAGTTGTATCATTGTATAAGTAAATACAATGGTTGTATATCTCAGATAATATTGACAAAAAAAAAACGGAAAAACGCTACATCATTTTTTGAAACATACTGAATGCAAATATATAATAAAAAACAAATGAATTTTCAAATATTCGCAGTGGCAACGAAATTTTCGCGGCGAATTAAATTTAATATCGCGATATCTTCGCAGCGGTACAGGCATGGCTATTTACTTTCATAGGTAACGTTTTGACGCGAATATTTCGCCGCCACTGCGGTGCGGACATTTCGCGTATAGGCTACTTCTGATTCTGAAGCTGTAGATCTGCCGCCATGTATGGCCGTTTCACACAGGCCGACACGACACCGGCACGACAACGACAACGATGCCGGTGGATGCGTAATCTCATATATATACATTCTTGATAATATTTTTGACATAGGTACTGTCACGGGCGACGACGCCGTGAAATTATTAGAAAAATTAAATTTAAAATTGTTAGTTTAAACGCGACGTTGTTACGTGGAAAATGCTTTGAAATTTAGGTCGAAATAGTTTTATTAAATGAAGGTAAAAATTCCGATCTAGGATTGGTGGAAACAGGGTTTAGGGGCGGAGCTTCCCGTCCGCCTAATCACATAAAACGCGGAACGATTTTTGGACTTTAGCGATTATTCAAGTGCCTTTGGAACGTCACATNTTCATAAGTTAAAATGCAAACTTCTATGAAATTGTGATTAATTTTTAAAAATCATTTAAGTTTAAATTTTTTTATTAAACTGCTCAAATTTGATAATGAAATTTGTAAAATTTTTTAAGAATCTTTGAAGTTGAAAATTTTGTATTAAACTTTTAAATAAAATACTTAATTTTCCTACCTATGGTATAATGATTTTAGGATACCCTGTATATTTATTTACTCACCACAACTTTCTATCCATTTTTTAACTCATTCTTTACCACCATATTTTTCCGATGGAAATCGATGTAAAATTATATTGGGAAATTTTCCTTTAGATTTTCCACATTTATAATATTGACATATATTTCCTGCCATTATTAATTTATTTTAAATATGTAAACAGTACACAGAACACCGATTCAACAACACCAGTTTTTTATGCATTACACAGTGGCGATTTTTTATATTATTCCAATCTTACTTAGAGCCATCTACAAACGAATTACTATACCCCTTGTATAATAACAGTACAGTTGAGACCGTCTAGACCTACAGTGAGTTCTTTAGCACAAATTTAAGAAATATTAATAACCGATATAGACGATAGATGTCCACACTATCTTTCGTATCGTTTTACTGGTTAACAAAATTTACATGGGGATTATATTACTATATTTACTTATACAATGGTACTACTTGATTTTAAAAAAAAATACTGTCAAGTTGAATCAAGTAATTTGAAAATCAAATCGAGTTTTGAGGATTCTTCTGAAAACTCAGAATTCCCTGGATTTTGAGTCAATATGTATAATGTGCATATACAATGTGTATTTTGTCTCCATTTTGCACCCCACCTTATTATTTTTAAAGATAAAAGAAAATGTTCAATATAAAAATTGTACGAATTTTCCTGAAACGGCAAAATTTTGTATCAGATCAAGCAAATGAAGGTGTCAAAATAAATAAAAATTTTTAATGACAATAAAGTGCTTGAACATTCGAATATATGTATAAGATGTTACACATCCACATTCACAAATGAACATAGAAAAGATGTCGAAATAAATCAACTTTTTTTTTAATTGGACATCATGTAAATTTTTACATATTTGAATTTTTCCTATTCCGATGATATAAGCAATGAAGGATATTTCTCATGTAGTAAAGGAGGTGTGGTAAAGTTCAATATCGACATGGTACAATCACCTGGGCCATATCTTCATTACTATTAGAGATACACCCATCAAATGCTGATATCAATATAATCATAAGAAAATGTACTAACTAAAAAAATAAAAATATAACAGAATATTCTATTTAAAAAGCAACAGTCTGTTTATTTTGACAACTCCGTTTGATCAATCTGATCTGAAACAAAATTCTGTCGCTTTATGAAAATTCGTACCATAAATTACATATTTTTTCAAGAAACTTAGTAAGTAACGCAATCATTTTTCATATTTTATATTCAACTTTAACGTAACTTTACTTGACTTGTTTAACTAACCCAGTTCCAAATTAAACAACTTAGTGAAATTATATGCAAGTACTTATACAGGTTGTCAAACATCAACATATACTTTATGATGAACATTGATTCGGGTTGTTCATCGAAAACAATAGGCGCTAGAGAAATAACAGAGAAAGATAATGGCGCTGATTAAAACAAAATTAAACTTAATTTTAGTCTCAGAAACCCATACAGTGGTTGTTTTCTAATTTTACATAAGGAATAAAAGCAATTATGGACAATTTTTTAGATAAATTACCTACCTTCGATAATTTTCATGGAATCTAGTGGTAAAATTTGGTCAATTCTTTAGCAGACAGTCTGCATAGGTCTCCCAAAAAGGTGGTCAGTGAATTGACAATTTGGGTAAAATTGAGTATTTCACATTTTATCAAAGACTTAATTGGAAATGAACCATACCGGGCTCCATCACCCTTCTTGAATATGCCTCTGTCTCTAAATATAAATAAACGATAAATAATTATAAAACGCGTCATTTATTAGACAATTCGGCATAAGATTTTAATCCATTCGTGGAATATCTCAAATTTCGAATTTTATTAGCGTTATTGACGGCAAATACATTTTTGTACGTATATGCTATCAAGAAACCCCATAAGAGTCTACGATAAGAATTTTAAATTTTGCAAAAAAGATTGAAGAACTCATGGACGGCAGATTTGGATCTATAAAATTTAGGTAATGCCTAAGTAATCACATCGTTATGGAAGAATACTAATCTACTTCTTCTATTTCAGGAAAGTTCCGCAAGGAATTCAGACGAGCTTTCGATTCTTGCTGCCAGAGAGAGCACGAGGACAGGAACTACTACAAGTATGGCGGCACCTTCTGCCACAAGCTGGAAAAGGACTCTGTGTTGGCTTCACAATCCAGGACTGATTTTGAAATACACAGGCTTAATACTTATAAGGACTACGATACGAAGCTCACTAGAAAAGGGACGAAAACTAGTGTATTGCAAGTTGAAATTTAAGTGTTTTAACATTATTGTAGTGGGTGTGGATTTTACTTAAAAAGAAAAGAGACCGTAAAAAAAACATAGAAGTATGAGTGTTTTCATGTGTTACATTTGATGTATTCAGGAGAGCTTAATCTTCTTGAACCGTTTTTATCTCTGGATGTAAAATTCAATTAATTATAAAAAAGAGAAATATAAACTTTTCTATTAAAACAGAAATATAAGGGCTCAATAAGCATTACTTCGATAAGGTGAGCGACAAACTTTTCTGTTTCAAATAACGTTTTTACAACAAAAAAAAAACAATGTTTCTGTACCCTTCAAAAATTGACCTCAAGAATAAAAAATTAATACATTTGACCATATTTTCTTTTAGTAACGTTCGTTAAAGTTATATGAGATGGAAAATTTTAGTTGGCTCACTCTTTACCTGCTTATACATTGTGACCTAAAAACAGATATCAAAATTTTAACCATGCATCAAAAGCAACATCTTTTGTATAATTTTTTTTTTCGAAAACCTGTTAGTGTTTAAGATATTTTTATTAAATTGTAAATTCTTTTTGCCATCGCTCGCAGTAAGTTGAAATTAATCAATTAATGTTAAAGAGACAGAAGCACAAAAAATGGAAAGCATTGCTAGTATTTAAAATTTAAGACAATGAAAATCATTCCGTAAAATGTTGGCATAAATTTCATTGATATTTCCCTAATCCGTTGTCAGCTCATTAGCGTTATTTTCATCGGAAAAAACGAGAGTTTTTGAAAAATTGATTAAGCAAAAGTTGTCACATTGAATGATGTACATTGTTAAAATTGTGGCTTTTGTATCTGACTCACCATATATGCCCCAGAGGACAAAAAATTTATTTTTTGTAAAACACAGCACAAGAACATTCAGTAAATAAAGACATAAAAATGTAAACGTGAAACAATAAGTATTTGCAGATTTCACATCACCTAAAACAAAATATAAAATGTGCCCTTATCCAAAAGGTATATGTATAATGGAAAATAGTGAAAACAACTTTTATTTTAGTTGGTTTGTTTCTCATAACCACAATACAGAGATGTAAATAAATAAAAAGTTAGAAAATAGAAATACATACAAAAATAACCGATAACGATTTGTTTTCAAAGCAGTAGTATAATAATCTTATACATAATATATTAACTTGACAAATAATAATTTTATTGCAAAGACGCGGGTAATAATACTTTTAGCGACAGAATTTAGAAAATATGTTGATCGTATCCTTTATAAAAAGAAAATGTTCATAAACTATCATCTAAAAATGCTTATGTCCAGATTGAGTATAGGCAAATTAATAAAAAAAAAATAATGCAATTAGGTCAAATTCAGTTTCATCTTAGAGTCTTTCCAATTGAAAAAAATGTACTTCCAAAGCACTTCAGAAACACTTCAGGTTTTCAGGTAATAAAAATAAAAATGATTACTTGAAAAATATTTAATGTATTTATGCTAATGTATTCCTCTCGGAGGAGTTCCAATTATTTAAATATGGAGTATGTAAAGATTAGAACGGGAGGAAAACACTTCCTGAATACTTCCCAGTCAACTGGAAAATAGGTTTTGTTTTTATCACGTTACAATTTTCAAAATAGTTTTGAAATCAGTAAATGAAAGCCCTTTACTTTAAACTGATTTATTTTTCAGTTCGACTGACAAAATATATACAAAACAATTAGATTCAATTTTACTTCCTATATACAGGGTGTCCCGTTCATGTTTCAAAAAAACGTGTGTGCAAGTTCCTTCTGGGAAAATAATAGTGATTTTCGAGATACAGTGTGTTGAAGTTGTTACTTTCCAAATGGTTTTCCTTAATTATATTATCTATTAAAAACTAATTTTAGATTTTGTAAACTACTACACTACCATTACTAAAATAAACAATTGTTGAATGGACTGAATTGTTGATGGGCATGAATGTTTAAAAAAAGTGATAAAAACTGAAAAATATTAGGAAACAGACTCGGACACATACAGAACAAAACAGCTGCACAATTAAATAAATGTGCAAACTCGAATTACTACAGTAGATACTGAATTGTCCCCCATTTCCTCCTATGCAACTTCATTTTTCTCGAAAATGGTACATGCTACCGAATTTCGATAGGTATACCTTTTTTGTAGTATGCTTTAGAGTTTACAGAACCGTTTAGAAATGTAATAAATGTTAATGTTTAACATATTTTCTTTTCGATTGTACCCCTCCAATTAGGGGTCATCCATAAATTACGTCACACGTAAATGGGGAGGGAGGGTATCACCGAAATGTGACAATTTGAGACAAGGGGCAGGGGGGTCAAAAGTTTTGTGGCGTCACATGTTAAAATTTAGAATACTAAAACGCGAAATTTAGATGTTGCTAAAAAACTATAAAAATCTACGAACTTGATATATATTTATTAATAATTTAGCATTCTCGCTACCTGAAATGTTGGACTTTATGTTGATTTTATTAGATTATTTAATAAAAAAAAGTAAAAAATTAAAATAGCTGTTTTCTCTCGATTATTTTTAAATACATGCCCAAATTTAAAAAATGTGTGACGTCACATCAGGAGGGGGGATTATAAAAATGTGACAACCTGTGATAAGGACGGGGGGAGGGGTTCAAAAGTCCTAAAATTCGTGTGACGTAATTTATGGATGGCCCCTTACCTGTATCGGCAACACTGCATTTCAGAATGAATTCGTTTGTACATTATTCTTAACGCACAGTTAATGTTTACTCGTGTACAAATTTTGACATTTTTATCTTTAGTCGATTTAAAGATAATTAAGGAAAACCATTAGGAAAGTAACAACTTCAACACACTGTATCTTGAAAACTGGGCGTCTAAAAAAAACTTTACATGAACTATCCCTATTATTTTTCCATGAGGAACTTGCACACAAGTTTTTTAGAAACATGAACGGGACACCCTGTATAGGTAGAAAACTAAATTAACTGTGAACTTCGTTTCGATTGTAAAATTTTGACGTTTACGAAAAAATCGACTGAAAGTAATGGTTTCTATGTTTGTGAACATTCGTCCTTGAAAAATAATATGGTGAAGTGTTAAAAATATATTATTTCTCAATGTACAAAACAGCAGCGAGAAATAAATCAAAATATGTTGTACCCGTTGTTAATCTCTGAGTGACGGAAAAAATTGTAGTTACAGTAATCGATTAGAAATTTACTTTTTTCAAAAATAATCCCAAATGACATGCACGAAGCAACTACGTAATTTCCTTTACATTACAGTTTTCACTAAAAAATTAGCCAAAAATGATTGTCTCAAAATTTCAAAGGAAAAGTTGATTGTATTCAAGTTTACATACTCATTTTTAGCTCTATAACAAATTTTATAGTTTTTACTTTACTATTGTAATCGAATGTAAAAACAATTTAATATAATACACAATTATTTATACTAAACTTCACTTTAATATACGTTTTAAACACTCAAATAAAAAATTTTATTTTAATTTTTTAGACTTTTCTATACTAATAAACCCATACCTAAGTTAAATTTCTATGTTATCACATATTCAAATTAACAATTTTTTTTGGATATACAAATATGTCACAATGTGTTATTATTTTTTATCCAGTTTAATTTGAAAAATGTATTAGTTTCATTAGTATAAAAATAATAACTCAAATCTGAGCTTAATATACAACAAAAAATAGTACTCCAATGTAGCTGAAAGTTTTAGTAACGTCATCACAAGTGTGCAATTTTTCACTCGTTCCTCCAATTTGATTTTCCTTTATTCCACCCTTCGTTTACCATACACATAGAAGAAATAACAGATCGCTTTGCAAGGCAAATATGATTTAGACGATATTCAGTCATAGTGCAAGTGCAAGGAAATATTTATCAAGCGAGAAACTGTACGAAATAGTTTTTCTTCAAACGGTAGCTTTATGTGATAAATCAAGCGTTATTTTCACTGAACTTAACTACAACTCGACATTTGTAAGCTGACAGGATTTACCGTGTTTCAGAATTTATATTCACATCTTAGATTACTCAAAGGAGTTCAGCGTAAAGGATTCGAAATCCTTTACGCTGAAAAATTATTTACAATTAGGTAGTTATATTTATTAATATACAGATTCAGAACTTATCCGAAAAAAAATTTTTAAATGTTCTTCTCTTACAAATACAATTTTGTAAAAATAAAAATCAAACAGGGCAGTTCGAAAATGATTTAAAAATTCTTCACCGCACTGGAAACTGGTGCACTGTAAATAGACTAGCCGGTATCTGTTTTGGTTTGGGTGAATCGTATATCCACGAAGATTTTTGGCTTTTTGGGCTTCAAATATCACTAGAAATGAAAATTTTTCTATGCGCATAAAAAAAACATGGGCTTAACTTTTGGCGGCACAATATGTTAAAAAAATTCGAAAAATGTCATATTTAATTATGTATTTTTTCAAGAGTTGATTTTAGGCGAAAATGGAAGAGGAAAAAAATGTTTGTAATTAAATTTTGTACAAAATATGACTAGTTACAAATCGAACGAATCATGATTATTATTGTAAAAATCGAAAAAAATCGCCAAAAATGGGGTTAAAAAACATTACTTTTTAGGGAATTTTTTTGAGGTCTTTAAGTTGGGTATAGGACCTTCATACTTGGCTCACGAAAAGTTCATGTTATGTAGAATCACCACACCAAATTTCATCAAAATCGGTTCTATATAATTTGCATAATAATTTTTCAATCCAGATTTTGAAAAAAAATTGCAAATTTTCAAAATTTTACACAGCAAAAACCAAAGCCCTTAGATATCTGAAAATTTAATCACATATAGAAGGGCTCTCAAGCTTTCAAACGCTTTTTGAAAAATTCGAATCCGTCAATTAGGAGAGCTCTGGCGCTTGTTTTTCGATTTTTACAATAATAATCATGATTCATTCGATTTATAACTAGTCATATTTTGTAAAATTTTATTACAAACATTTTTATCCTCTTCCATTTTCGCCTAATATCAACTCTTAAAAAGATACATAATTAAATAGGAAGAAAAATATGACATTTTTCGAATTTTTTTAACATATTGTGCCGCCAAAAGTTAAGCCCACGTTTTTTTTATGCGCATAGAAAAATTTTCATTTCTAGTGATATTTAAAAGCCAAAAAGCCAAAAATCTCCGTGGATATATGATTCACCCAAATATGGGCTCTTCGAAACAGATACCGTCTGGACTAAAAACCTGACCTTGTGAAAGGCAAAGCATGCAGTCGTAAATAATAAAGTAGTATAGTAAAATAATAATAGTAAAGTAATAAATACAATTTTATAACACCTATTTTATATCAGCAAATTCAACTGTTTTTGCCGCTATTGTTATTATTAGTTAAAAAATTAATTTGTGGTTTGAATTAATAAAATAATTTAACATACCTGGATGTTACAACAACTGTTCAAAATTTTGTCCACCGACGTGTACACACATGTCTTGTTTCACCCATAACACAAATACTTCACCATACCACAAATACTTTACTGTAACACAAATACTTTACTATAACACAAATGCTTCACCATAAATTATAACGATATCCATCAATTTCTAGTTGCTATACTCATAAGCTATTTTTGACACTTGGGAAATTAATGTAATACCTACTAAAATCGGATTTGAGTATTCGGAATCGCCTGGGGCTACGTGGAGAGAGAATGATTTGCGTACAACACAACGCGAATGACGCTAGAGACGCCCAGCGATGTAAGGGTTTTAAATACTACAACTTCAATAATTTTTTTCTCGGAAACTATAAGGATTTTACAAAAATTTTTTTATGATATTTACTCCATTTTTCATGATGCATCTATTCTCAAATTTTTTCGGAAAGTTGTGAATCGCCCTGTAGATAATGGAAACTTGAAATATGTAGATCAGGGACAGTGAACATGAATAAAAAAATGAATAGTATGGTTTGTTTTATACAGAGTGTCCCATAATTAATTGGACATTAGCTAAATGCCTCAGCAAAATGTTATTCGCTTTCGTTCCACAGGTTGTTTTATCAATTATTTTTTCAAATATTTTGAAAACTGTTCGACGCATTTCAATGAAATTTGGTATTTTGGTGTAACTCCATTGACATGGCCATACCTTTTTGTCCAGCCCATATACTCGAACAGAAATAAAGAAATAACATTCAATTTCACAGAAAATAATTAACTTTTTTTGAAGTTGAAAAAGTAGGCCGTTTCGAATGGGGAAGTTGCATCAAATTTTCTTTTGAAGCAAAATTTATTTAAAGTGCAGAAAATTACTATAAAAGTATGTTTCTATATGTAAAACCCCTTTATACTTAACTATTAATATGTAATTAATTATAAAAATATTGAATATAATAAGGTGGGCGAAAACGGTCCTTAATTGGTCAAGCAATTTGTGACGTCAGGATCCGGTATATGAGTGTTAAGACTGTCAAGACGCGAGAGGCTGGCGCTGTCATTGCATTGCTGTCGTTTAATCTTGTGTTGAATTAGTTTGTGTTCGCATTGAATTCTGAGTAGTTTTGAGTAGTTAGTTTTAGTGTATAAATTTAAAGACAAGTTTCGTTAATTTTCATAGAGTCTACGAACATTTTCACAATATCTACCCAGGCAGCTTTAATGCGTAGCGGCTTCAGAATTACAACACGAAAACGTGAAAAACATAACAGTATCTGAACATAAATATTATAGTTAGTACCCATGTGTAGTTCCACAACACTAACTGCCCCCAACAAACTATTTAATGTACCAAAGGATGA